TGGAAAGCGGGAGAATGGGGCGGGGTGATGGAAAGCGGGAGAATAGGGTGGGGTGATGGAAAGCGGGAGAATGGGGCGGGGTGATGGAAAGCGGGAGAATGGGGCGGGGTTATGGAAAGCGGGAGAATGGGGCGGGGTGATGGAAGGAGGGAGAATGGGGCGGGGTGATGGAAAGCAGGAGAATGGGGCAAGGTGTTGGAAGGAGGGAGAATGGGGCGGGGTGATGGAAGGAGGGAGAATAGGGCGGAGTGATGGAAAGCGGGAGAATGGGGCGGGGTGATGGAAAGCGGGAGAATGGGGCGGGGTGATGGAAGGAAGGAGAATGGGGCGGGGTGATGGAAAGCGGGAGAATGGGGCGCGGTGATGGAAAGCGGGAAAATGGGGCGGGGTGATGGAAAGCGGGAGAATGGGGCGGGGTGATTGAAAGCGGGAGAATGGGGCGGGGTGAAGGAAAGCGGGAGAATGGGGAGGGGTGATGGAAAGCGGGGGAATGGGGCGGGGTGATGGAAAGCTGGAGAATGGGGCGGGGTGATGGAAAGCGGGAGAATGGGGCGGGGTGATGGAAAGCGGGAGATTGGGGCGGGGTGATGGAAAGCGGGAGAATGGGGCGGGGTGATGGAAAGCAGGAGAATGGGGCGGGGTGATGAAAAGCGGGAGAATGGGGCGGGGTGATGGAAGGAGGGAGAATGGGGCGGGGTGATGGAAGGAGGGAGAATGAGGCGGGGTGATGGAAAGCGGGAGAATGGGGCGGGGTGATGGAAAGCAGGAGAATGGGGCGGGGCGATGGAAGGAGGGAGAAGGGGGCAGGGTGATGGAAGGAGGGAGAATGGGGCGGGTTGATGAAAGGCGGGAGAATGGGGCGGGGTGATGGAAAGCAGGAGAATGGGGCGGGGTGATGGAAAGCGGGAGAATGGGGCGCGGTGATGGAAAGCGGGAGAACGGGGCGGGGTTATGGAAAGCGGGAGAATGGGGCGGGGTGATGGAAGGAGGGAGAATGGGGCGGGGTGAGGGAAGGAGGGAGAATGGGGCGGGGTGATGGAAAGCGGGAGATTGGGGCAGGGTGATGGAAAGCAGGAGAATGGGGCGGGGTGATGGAAAGCGGGAGAATGGGGCAAGGTGATGGAAGGAGGTAGAATGGGGCGGGGTGATTGAAGGAGGGAGAATGGGGCGGGGTGATGGAAAGCAGGAGAATGCAGCGGGGTGATGGAAGGAGGGAGAATGGGGCGGGGTGATGGAAGGAGGGAGAATGGGGCGGGGTGATGGAAGGAGGGAGAATGGGGCGGGGTGATGGAAAGCGGGAGAATGGGGCGGGGTGATGGAAAGCAGAAGAATGGGGCGGGGTGTTAGAAAGCGGGAGAATGGGGCAAGGTGATGGAAGGAGGGAGAATGGGGCGGGGTGATGGAAAGCGGGAGAATGGGGCGGGGTGATGGAAAGCGGAAGAATGGGGCAGGGTGATGGAAGGAGGGAGAATGGGGCGGGGTGATGGAAGGAGGGAGAATGTGGCGGGGTGATGGAAAGCGGGACGATGGGGCGGGGTGATGGAAAGCGGGAGAATGGGGATGGAAAGCGGGAGATTGGGGCGGGGTGATAGAAAGCGTGAGAATGGGGCTGGTTGATGGAAAGCGGGAGAATAGGGCGGGGTGATGGAAAGCGGGCGAATGGGGCGGGGTGATGAAAAGCGGGAGAATGGAGCAGGGTGATGGAAGGAGGGAGAATGGGGCGGGGTGATGGAAGGAGGGAGAATGGAGCGGATGATGGCAAGCGGGAGAATGGGGTGGGGTGATGGAAGGACGGAGAATGGGGCGGGGTGATGGAAAGCGGGAGAATGGGGCAGGGTGATGGAAAGCGGGAGAATGGGGCGGGGTGATGGAAAGCGGGAAAATGGGGCGGGGTGAAGGAAAACGGGAGAATGGGGCGGGGTGATGGAAAGCGGGAGAATGGGACGGGGTGATGGAAAGCGGGAGAATGGGGCGGGGTGATGAAAAGCGGGAGAATGGGGCGGGGTGATCAAAACCGGGAGAATGGGGCGGGGTGATGGAAAGAGGGAGAATGGGGCGGGGTGATGGAAAGCTGGAGAATGGGGCGGGGTGATGAAAAGCGGGAGAATGGGGCGGGGTGATCAAAAGCGGGAGAATGGGGCGGGGTGATGGAAAGCGGGAGAATGGGGCGGGGTTATGGAAGGAGGGAGAATGGGGCGGGGTTATGGAAGGAGGGAAAATGGGGCGGGATGATGGAAAGCGGGAGAATGGGGTGGGGTGATGGAAAGCGGGAGAATGGGGCGGGGTGATGAAAAGCGGGAGAGTGGGGCAGGGTGATGGAAGGAGGGAGAATGGGGCGGGGTGAAGGAACGCGGGAGAATGGGGCGGGGTGATGGAAAGCGGGAGAATGGGGCGGGGTGATGGAAGGAGGGAGAATGAGGCGGGGTGATGGAAAGCGGGAGAATGGGGCGAGGTGATGGAAAGCAGGAGAATGGGGCGGGTTGATGGAAAGCGGGAGAATGGGGCGGGGTGATGGAAGGAGGGAGAATGGGGCGGGGTGATGGAAGGAGGGAGAATGGGGCGGGGTGATGGAAAGCGGGAGAATGGGGCGGGGTGATGGAAAGCGGGAGAATGGGGCGGGGTGATGGAAAGCGGGAGAATGGGGCGGGGTGATGGAAGGAGGGAGAATGGGGCGGGGTGATGGAAGGAGGGATAATGGGGCGGGGTGATGGAAAGCGGGAGAATGAGGCGGTGTGATGGAAAGCGGGAGAATGGGGCGGGTGATGGAAAGCGGGAGAATGGGGCAGGGTGATGGAAAGAGTGAGAATGGGGCGGGGTGATGGAAAGCGGGAGAATGGGGCGGGGTGACGGAAGGAGGGAGAATGGGGCGGGGTGATGGAAGGAGGGAGAATGGGGCGGGGTGATGGAAAGCGGGAGAATGGGGCGGGGTGATGGAAAGCGGGAGAATGGGGCGGGGTGAAGGAAAGCGGGAGAATGGGGCGGGGTTATGGAAAGCGGGAGAATGGGGCGGGGAGATAGAAAGCAGGAGAATGGGGCGGGGTGATGGAAAGCGGGGGATTGAGGCGGGGTGATGGAAAGCGGGAGAATGGGGCGGGGTGATGAAAAGCGGGAGAATGGGGCGGGGTGATGGATGGTGGGAAAATGGGGCGGGGTGATGGAAGGAGGGAGAATGGGGCGGCGTGATGGAAAGCGGGAGAATTGGGCAGGGTGATGGAAAGCGGGAGAATGGGGCGGGGTGATGGAAGGAGGGAGAATGGGGCAGGGTGAATGAAGGAGGGAGAATGGGGCGGGGTGATGGAAGGAGGGAGAATGGGGCGGGGTGATGGAAAGCGGGAGAATGGGGCGGGGTGATGGAAAGCGGGAGAATGGGGCGGGGTGATGGAAAGCGGGAGAATGGAGCGGGGTGATGGAAGGAGGGAGAATGGGGCAGGGTGATGGAAGGAGGGAGAATGGGGCGGCGCGATGGAAAGCGGGAGAATGGGGCGGGGTGATGGAAAGCGGGAGAATGGGGCGGGGTGATGTAAGGAGGGAGAATGGGGCAGGGTGATGGAAGGAGGGAGAATGGGGCGGGGTGATGGAAGGAGGGAGAATGGGGCGGGGTGATGGAAAGCGGGAGAATGGGGCGGGGTGATGGAAAGCGGGAGAATGGGGCGGGGTGATGGAAAGCGGGAGAATGGGGCAGGGTGATGGAAAGCGGGAGAACGGGGCGGGGTGATGGAAAGCGGGAGAATAGGGTGGGGTGATGGAAAGCGGGAGAATGGGGCGGGGTGATGGAAAGCGGGAGAGTGGGGCGGGGTGATGGAAAGCGGGAATATGTGGCGGGGTGATGGAAAGCGGGAGAGTGGGGCGAGGTGATGGAAAGCGGGAGAATGGGGCGGGGTGATGGAAAGCGGGAGAATGGGGCGGGGTGATGGAAAGCGGGAGAATGGGGCGGGGTGATGGAAAGCGGGAGAATGGGGCAGGGTGATGGAAAGCGGGAGATTGGGGCGGGGTGATGGAAAGCGGGAGAATAGGGTGGGGTGATGGAAAGCGGGAGAATGGGGCGGGGTGATGGAAAGCGGGACAGTGGGGCGGGGTGATGGAAAGCGGGAATATGTGGCGGGGTGATGGAAAGCGGGAGAATGGGGCGGGGTGATGGAAAGCGGGAGAATGGGGCGGGGTGATGGAAAGCGGGAGAATAGGGCGGGGTGATGGAAAGCGGGAGAATGGGGCGGGGTGATGGAAAGCGGGAGAATAGGGTGGGGTGATGGAAAGCGGGAGAATGGGGCGGGGTGATGGAAAGCGGGAGAGTGGGGCGGGGTGATGGAAAGCGGGAGAATGTGGCGGGGTGATGGAAAGCGGGAGAATGGGGCGGGGTGATGGAAAGCGGGAGAATGGGGCGGGGTGATGGAAAGCGGGAGAATGGGGCGGGGTGATGGAAAGCGGGAGAATAGGGCGGGGTGATGGAAAGCGGGAGAATGGGGCGGGGTGATGGAAAGCGGGAGAATAGGGTGGGGTGATGGAAAGCGGGAGAATGGGGCGGGGTGATGGAAAGCGGGAGAGTGGGGCGGGGTGATGGAAAGCGGGAGAATGTGGCGGGGTGATGGAAAGCGGGAGAATGGGGCGGGGTGATGGAAAGTGGGAGAATGGGGCGGGGTGACGGAAAGCGAGAGAATGGGGCAGGGTGACGGAAAGAGGGAGAATGGGGCGGGGTGATAAAAAGCGGGGGAATGGGGCGGGGTGATGGAAGGAGGGAGAATGGGGCGGGGTGATGGAAGGAGGCAGAATGGGGCGGGGTGATGGAAAGCGGGAGAATGGGGCGGGGTGATGGAAAGCGGGAGAATGGGGCGGGGCGATGGAAGGAGGGAGAAGGGGGCAGGGTGATGGAAGGAGGGAGAATGGGGCGGGGTGATGAAAGGCGGGAGAATGGGGCGGGGTGATGCAAAGCAGGAGAATGGGGCGGGGTGATGGAAAGCGGGAGAATGGGGCGGGGTGATGGAAAGCGGGAGAATGGGGTGGGGTTATGGAAAGCGGGAGAATGGGGCGGGGTGATGGAAGGAGGGGGAATGGGGCGGGGTGATGGAAGGAGGGAGAATGAGGCGGGGTGATGGAAGGAGGGAGAATGGAGCAGGGTTATGGAAGGAGGGAGAATGGAGCAGGGTTATGGAAGGAGGGAGAATGGAGCGGGGTGATGGAAAGCGGGAGAATGGGGCGGGGTGATGAAAAGCGGGAGAATGGGGCGGGGTGATGGAAAGCGGGAGAATGGGGCGGAGTGATGGAAAGCGGGAGAATGGAGCGGGGTGATGGAAGGAGGGAGAATGGAGCAGGGTTATGGAAGGAGGGAGAATGGAGCGGGGTGATGGAAAGCGGGAGAATGGGGCGGGGTGATGAAAAGCGGGAGAATGGGGCGGGGTGATGGAAAGCGGGAGAATGGGGCGGGGTGATGGAAAGCGGGAGAATGGAGCGGGGTGATGGAAGGAGGGAGAATGGGGCAGGGTGATGGAAGGAGGGAGAATGGGGCGGCGCGATGGAAAGCGGGAGAATGGGGCGGGGTGATGGAAAGCGGGAGAATGGGGCGGGGTGATGTAAGGAGGGAGAATGGGGCAGGGTGATTGAAGGAGGGAGAATGGGGCGGGGTGATGGAAGGAGGGAGAATGGGGCGGGGTGATGGAAAGCGGGAGAATGGGGCGGGGTGATGGAAAGCGGGAGAATGGGGCGGGGTGATGGAAAGCGGGAGAATGGGGCAGGGTGATGGAAAGCGGGAGAATGGGGCGGGGTGATGGAAAGCGGGAGAATAGGGTGGGGTGATGGAAAGCGGGAGAATGGGGCGGGGTGATGGAAAGCGGGAGAGTGGGGCGGGGTGATGGAAAGCGGGAATATGTGGCGGGGTGATGGAAAGCGGGAGAATGGGGCGGGGTGATGGAAAGCGGGAGAATGGGGCGGGGTGACGGAAAGCGGGAGAATGGGGCAGGGTGACGGAAAGAGGGAGAATGGGGCGGGGTGATAAAAAGCGGGGGAATGGGGCGGGGTGATGGAAGGAGGGAGAATGGGGCGGGGTGATGGAAGGAGGCAGAATGGGGCGGTGTGATGGAAAGCGGGAGAATGGGGCGGGGTGATGGAAAGCGGGAGAATGGGGCGGGGCGATGGAAGGAGGGAGAAGGGGGCAGGGTGATGGAAGGAGGGAGAATGGGGCGGGGTGATGAAAGGCGGGAGAATGGGGCGGGGTGATGCAAAGCAGGAGAATGGGGCGGGGTGATGGAAAGCGGGAGAATGGGGCGGGGTGATGGAAAGCGGGAGAATGGGGCGGGGTTATGGAAAGCGGGAGAATGGGGCAGGGTGATGGAAGGAGGGAGAATGGGGCGGGGTGATGGAAGGAGGGAGAATTGGGCGGGGTGATGGAAAGCGGGAGAATGGGGCGGGGTGATGGAAAGCAGGAGAATGGGGCGGGGTGATGGAAAGCGGGAGAATGGGGCAAGGTGATGGAAGGAGGGAGAATGGGGCGGGGTGATGGAAGGAGGGAGAATGGGGCGGGGTGATGGAAAGCAGGAGAATGCGGCGGGGTGATGGAAAGCGGGAGAATGGGGCGGGGTGATGGAAGGAGGGAGAATGGGGCGGGGTGATGGAAGGAGGGAGAATGGGGCGGGGTGATGGAAAGCGGGAGAATGGGGCGGGGTGATGGAAAGCGGGAGAATGGGGCGGGGTGATGGAAAGCGGGAGAATGGGGCAGGGTGATGGAAAGCGGGAGAATGGGGCGGGGTGATGGAAAGCGGGAGAATGGGGCGGGGTGATGGAAAGCGGGAGAATAGGGTGGGGTGATGGAAAGCGGGAGAATGGGGCGGGGTGATGGAAAGCGGGAGAGTGGGGCGGGGTGATGGAAAGCGGGAATATGTGGCGGGGTGATGGAAAGCGGGAGAATGGGGCGGGGTGATGGAAAGTGGGAGAATGGGGCGGGGTGACGGAAAGCGGGAGAATGGGGCGGGGTGATAGAAAGCGGGGGAATGGGGCGGGGTGATGGAAGGAGGGAGAATGGGGCGGGGTGATGGAAGGAGGCAGAATGGGGCGGGGTGATGGAAAGCGGGAGAATGGGGCGGGGTGATGGAAAGCGGGAGAATGGGGCGGGGCGATGGAAGGAGGGAGAAGGGGGCCGGGTGATGGAAGGAGGGAGAATGGGGCGGGGTGATGAAAGGCGGGAGAATGGGGCGGGGTGATGCAAAGCAGGAGAATGGGGCGGGGTGGTGGAAAGCGGGAGAATGGGGCGGGGTGATGGAAGGAGGGAGAATGGGGCGGGGTGATGGAAGGAGGGAGAATTGGGCGGGGTGATGGAAAGTGGGAGAATGGGGCGGGGTGATGGAAAGCAGGAGAATGGGGCGGGGTGATGGAAAGCGGGAGAATGGGGCGGGGTGATGGAAAGCAGGAGAATGGGGCGGGGTGATGGAAAGCGGGAGAATGGGGCAAGGTGATGGAAGGAGGGAGAATGGGGCGGGGTGATGGAAGGAGGGAAAATGGGGCGGGGTGATGGAAAGCAGGAGAATGCGGCGGGGTGATGGAAAGCGGGAGAATGGGGCAAGGTGATGGAAGGAGGGAGAATGGGGCGGGGTGATGGAAGGAGGGAGAATGGGGCGGGGTGATGGAAAGCAGGAGAATGCGGCGGGGTGATGGAAAGCGGGAGAATGGGGCGGGGTGATGGAAAGCGGGAGAATGGGGCGGGGTGATGGAAAGCGGGAGAATGGGGCAGGGTGATGGAAAGCGGGAGAATGGGGTGGGGTGATGGAAAGCGGGAGAATGGGGCGGGGTGATGGAAAGTGGGAGAATGGGGCGGGGTGACGGAAAGCGGGAGAATGGGGCAGGGTGACGGAAAGAGGGAGAATGGGGCGGGGTGATAAAAAGCGGGGGAATGGGGCGGGGTGATGGAAGGAGGGAGAATGGGGCGGGGTGATGGAAGGAGGCAGAATGGGGCGGGGTGATGGAAAGCGGGAGAATGGGGCGGGGTGATGGAAAGCGGGAGAATGGGGCGGGGCGATGGAAGGAGGGAGAAGGGGGCAGGGTGATGGAAGGAGGGAGAATGGGGCGGGGTGATGAAAGGCGGGAGAATGGGGCGGGGTGATGCAAAGCAGGAGAATGGGGCGGGGTGGTGGAAAGCGGGAGAATGGGGCGGGGTGATGGAAGGAGGGAGAATGGGGCGGGGTGATGGAAGGAGGGAGAATTGGGCAGGGTGATGGAAAGCGGGAGAATGGGGCGGGGTGATGGAAAGCAGGAGAATGGGGCGGGGTGATGGAAAGCAGGAGAATGGGGCAAGGTGATGGAAGGAGGGAGAATGGGGCGGGGTGATGGAAGGAGGGAGAATTGGGCGGGGTGATGGAAAGCGGGAGAACGGGGCGGGGTGATGGAAAGCAGGAGAATGGGGCGGGGTGATGGAAAGCGGGAGAATGGGGCAAGGTGATGGAAGGAGGGAGAATGGGGCGGGGTGATGGAAGGAGGGAGAATGGGGCGGGGTGATGGAAAGCAGGAGAATGCGGCGGGGTGATGGAAAGCGGGAGAATGGGGCAAGGTGATGGAAGGAGGGAGAATGGGGCGGGGTGATGGAAGGAGGGAGAATGGGGCGGGGTGATGGAAAGCGGGAGAATGGGGCAGGGTGATGGAAAGCGGGAGAATGGGGCGGGGTGATGGAAAGCGGGAGAATGGGGCGGGGTGATGGAAAGCGGGAGAAAATGGTGGGGTGATGGAAAGCGGGAGAATGGGGCGGGGTGATGGAAAGCGGGAGAATGGGGCGGGGTTATGGAAAGCGGGAGAATGGGGCGGGGTGATGGAAGGAGGGAGAATAGGGCGGGGTGATGGAAGGAGGGAGAATTGGGCGGGGTGATGGAAAGCAGGAGAATGGGGCGGGGTGATGGAAAGCAGGAGAATGGGGCGGGGTGATGGAAAGCGGGAGAATGGGGCAAGGTGATGGAAGGAGGGAGAATGGGGCGGGGTGATGGAAGGAGGGAGAATGGGGCGGGGTGATGGAAAGCAGGAGAATGCGGCGGGGTGATGGAAAGCGGGAGAATGGGGCAAGGTGATGGAAAGAGGGAGAATGGGGCGGGGTGATGGAAGGAGGGAGAATGGGGCGGGGTGATGGAAAGCAGGAGAATGCGGCAGGGTGATGGAAAGCGGGAGAATGGGGCGGGGTGATGGAAAGCGGGAGAATGGGGCGGGGTGATGGAAAGCGGGAGAATGGGGCAGGGTGATGGAAAGCGGGAGAATGGGGCGGGGTGATGGAAAGCGGGAGAATGGGGCGGGGTGATGGAAAGCGGGAGAAAAGGGTGGGGTGATGGAAAGCGGGAGAATGGGGCGGGGTGATGGAAAGCGGGAGAATGGGGCGGGGTTATGGAAAGCGGGAGAATGGGGCGGGGTGATGGAAGGAGGGAGAATGGGGCGGGGTGATGGAAGGAGGGAGAATTGGGCGGGGTGATGGAAAGCGGGAGAATGGGGCGGGGTGATGGAAAGCAGGAGAATGGGGCGGGGTGATGGAAAGCGGGAGAATGGGGCAAGGTGATGGAAGGAGGGAGAATGGGGCGGGGTGATGGAAGGAGGGAGAATGGGGCGGGGTGATGGAAAGCAGGAGAATGCGGCGGGGTGATGGAAAGCGGGAGAATGGGGCGGGGTGATGGAAGGAGGGAGAATGTGGCGGGGTGATGGAAGGAGGGAGAATGGGGCGGGGTGATGGAAAGCGGGAGAATGGGGCAGGGTGATGGAAGGAGGGAGAATGGGGCGGGGTGATGGAAGGAGGGAGAATGTGGCGGGGTGATGAAAAGCGGGAGAATGGGTTGGGGTGATGGAAAGAGGGAGAATGGGGCGGGGTGATGGAAAGCGGGAGAATGGGGCGGGGTGATGGAAATCGGGAGAATGGGGCAGGGTGATGGAAAGCGGGAGAATGGGGCGGGGTGATGGAAAGCGGGAGAATGGGGCGGGGTGATGGAAAGCGGGAGAATGGGGCGGGGTGATGGAAAGCGGGAGAATAGGGTGGGGTGATGGAAAGCGGGAGAATGGGGCGGGGTGATGGAAAGCGGGAGAGTGGGGCGGGGTGATGGAAAGCGGGAGAGTGGGGCGGGGTGATGGAAAGTGGGAGAATGGGGCGGGGTGATGGAAAGTGGGAGAATGGGGCGGGGTGACGGAAAGCGGGAGAATGGGGCAGGGTGACGGAAAGAGGGAGAATGGGGCGGGGTGATGAAAAGCGGGAGAATGGGGCGGGGTGATGGAAGGAGGGAGAATGGGGCGGGGTGATGGAAGGAGGGAGAATGGGGCGGGGTGATGGAAAGCGGGAGAATGGGGCGGGGTGATGGAAAGCGGGAGAATGGGGCGGGGCTATGGAAGGAGGGAGAAGGGGGCAGGGTGATGGAAGGAGGGAGAATGGGGCGGGGTGATGAAAGGCGGGAGAATGGGGCGGGGTGATGCAAAGCAGGAGAATGGGGCGGGGTGGTGGAAAGCGGGAGAATGGGGCGGGGTGATGGAAGGAGGGAGAATGGGGCGGGGTGATGGAAGGAGGGAGAATTGGGCGGGGTGATGGAAAGCGGGAGAATGGGGCGGGGTGATGGAAAGCAGGAGAATGGGGCGGGGTGATGGAAAGCGGGAGAATGGGGCAAGGTGATGGAAGGAGGGAGAATGGGGCGGGGTGATGGAAGGAGGGAGAATGGGGCGGGGTGATGGAAAGCAGGAGAATGCGGCGGGGTGATGGAAAGCGGGAGAATGGGGCGGGGTGATGGAAGGAGGGAGAATGGGGCGGGGTGATGGAAGGAGGGAGAATGGGGCGGGGTGATGGAAAGCGGGAGAATGGGGCTGGGTGATGGAAAGCAGAAGAATGGGGCGGGGTGATAGAAAGCGAAAGAATGGGGCAAGGTGATGGAAGGAGGGAGGATGGGGCGGGGTGATGGAAGGAGGGAGAATAGGGCGGGGTGATGGAAAGCGGGAGAATGGGGCGGGGTGATGGAAAGCGGGAGAATGGGGCAGGGTGATGGAAGGAGGGAGAATGGGGCGGGGTGATGGAAGGAGGGAGAATGTGGCGGGGTGATGGAAGGAGGGAGAATGGGGCGGGGTGATGGAAAGAGGGAGAATGGGGCGGGGTGATGGAAAGCAGGAGAATGGGGCGGGGTGATGGAAAGCGGGAGAATGGGGATGAAAAGCGGGAGATTGAGGCGGGGTGATAGAAAGCGTGAGAATGGGGCTGGTTGATGGAAAGCGGGAGAATGGGGCGGGGTGATGGAAAGCGGGAAAATTGGGCAGGGTGATGGAAAGCGGGAGAATGGGGCGGGGTGATGGAAAGCGGGCGAATGGGGCGGGGTGATGAAAATCAGGAGAATGGAGCAGGGTGATGGAAGGAGGGGGAATGGGGCGGGGTGATGGAAAGAGGGAGAATGGAGCGGATGATGGAAAGCGGGAGAATGGGGCGGGGTGATGGAAGGACGGAGAATGGGGCGGGGTGATGGAAAGCGGGAGAATGGGGCAGGGTGATGGAAAGCGGGAGAATGGGGCGGGGTGATGGAAAGCGGGAAAATGGGGCGGGGTGAAGGAAAGCGGGAGAATGGGGCGGGGTGATGGAAAGCGGGAGAATGGGGCGGGGTGATGAAAAGCGGGAGAATGGGGCGGGGTGATCGAAAGCGGGAGAATGGGGCGGGGTGATGGAAAGCGGGAGAATGGGGCGGGGTTATGGAAGGAGGGAGAATGGGGCGGGGTTATGGAAGGAGGGAGAATGGGGCGGGATGATGGAAACCGGGAGAATGGAGTGGGGTGATGGAAAGCGGGAGAATGGGGCGGGGTGATGAAAAGCGGGAGAATGGGGCGGGGTGATGGAAGGAGGGAGAATGGGGCGGGGTGAAGGAACACGGGAGAATGGGGCGGGGTGATGGAAAGCGGGAGAATGGGGCGAGGTGATGGAATGAGGGAGAATGAGGCGGGGTGATGGAAGGAGGGAGAATGGGGCGGGGTGATGGAAAGCGGGAGGATGGGGCGAGGTGATGGAAAGCAGGAGAATGGGGCGGGGTGATGGAAGGAGGGAGAATGGGGCGGGGTGATGGAAGGAGGGAGAATCGGGCGGGGTGATGGAAAGCGGGAGAATGGGGCGGGGTGATGGAAAGCGGGAGAATGGGGCGGGGTGATGGAAAGCGGGAGAATGGGGCGGGGTGATGGAAGGAGGGAGAATCGGGCGGGGTGATGGAAGGAGGGATAATGGGGCGGGGTGATGGAAAGTGGGAGAATGAGGCGGTGTGATGGAAAGCGGGAGAATGGGGCGGGTGATGGAAAGCGGGAGAATGGGGCAGGGTGATGGAAAGAGTGAGAATGGGGCGGGGTGATGGAAAGCGGGAGAATGGGGCGGGGTGATGGAAAGCGGGAGAATGGGGCGGGGTGAAGGAAAGCGGGAAAATGGGGCGGGGTGATGGAAAGCGGGGGATTGAGGCGGGGTGATGGAAAGCGGGAGAATGGGGCGGGGTGATGAAAAGCGGGAGAATGGGGCGGGGTGATGGATGGTGGGAATATGGGGCGGGGTGATGGAAGGTGGGAAAATGGGGCGGCGTGATGGAAAGCGGGAGAATGGGGCGGGGTGATGGAAAGCGTGAGAATGGGGCGGGGTGATGGATGGTGGGAAAATGGAGCGGCGTGATGGAAAGCGGGAGAATGGGGCGGGGTGATGGAAAGCGGGAGAATGGGGCGGGGTGATGGAAGGAGAGAGAATGGGGCGGGGTGATGGAAAGCGGGAGAATGGGGCGGGGTGATGGAAAGCGGGAGAATGGGGAGGGGTAATTGAAAGCGGGAGAATGGGGCAGGGTGATGGAAAGCGGGAGAATGGGGCGGGGTGATGGAAAGCGGGAGAATCGGGCGGGGTGATGGAAAGCGGGAGAATGGGGCGGGGTGATGGAAAGCGGGAGAATAGGGTGGGGTGATGGAAAGCGGGAGAATGGGGCGGGGTGGTGGAAAGCGGGAGAGTGGGGCGGGGTGATGGAAAGCGGGAGAATGGGGCGGGGTGATGGAAAGCGGGAGAATGGGGCGGGGTGATGGAAAGCGGGAGAATGGGGCGGGGTGACGGAAAGCGGGAGAATTGTTGGTGCAACCCTACGGTTTGCACTCGGCTTGTTGTCCGTGTGCGTGAATGTGTGTGTGTATGGAATGGTATGAGGGCATGGGATAATATATATTTCATGCTTATAATTGTGTGTGAATGTTGAGTCATGATGTCGAGTGTGTGTGTCGAGTCAATAGCGAGTTATCGCTAGACGCGTGTTACGCGGTCGTTTGTGTCTCGCGCGCGGTTTCTATTTTGTCGTGCGCGGTTTCTATTTTGTCCTGTGTCGAACGTTCGGCGTGTCGCAGGTGTGTGCAGCAGACCCATCAAGAACTCAAGGATGAGTTTGTGATGAAGAGCCCGAGCCTTGGTGTCAAGCCTCAAGTGATTTCGAAGCTTGCCAAAAGGGTACACCTCAAGATATTGAAGATAGTTACATTACTTTGTGTAGTGTAACATTTCACTTGGTGTAGGCCCTAGTGAAGGGTAGTTTCGAGACCCTTCGTGGTTGGGGACAGTGTGGCACTGTTCCACATCACTGTACCTCGGCTCTTGGGGTTTGTAGGAGCTGGGAGTCATTCCCAACTCGTAACTCTTCCTATCTTGTGTTCTAAGACTATAGTGGCTGCCATAGTACCGTTCGTTCAGACCGATGCCGTGTCGTCAATTCTTTATCAAATCGTGCAATCTAAATTGATAATTGTAGACGACGTAAAGACGCTCCAGATCCAATTTGAATCAAGTCATTTGCAGCTGTGAGCAGAACGCTATCAACGTTTGAAGCCGCTGTGCAGAAATCCGTCTGTGCTCTCTATCTTTCGTTTTAGGCACATTCAAGCCTATTGTGACTATAACAGGTGTGTGCAGCAGACCCATCAAGAAATCAAGGATGAGTTTGTGATGAAGAGCTCGAGCCTTGGTGTCAAGCCTCAAGTGATTTCGAAGCTCGCCAAAAGGGTACACCTCAAGATATTGAAGATAGTTACATTACTTTGTGTAGTGTAACATTTCACTTGGTGTAGGCCCTAGTGAAGGGTAGTTTCGAGACCCTTCGTGGTTGGGGACAGTGTGGCACTGTTCCACATCACTGTTCCTCGGCTCTTGGGGTTTGTAGGAGCTGGGAGTCATTCCCAACTCGTAACTCTTCCTATCTTGTGTTCTAAGACTATAGTGGCTGCCATAGTACCGTTCGTTCAAACCGACGCTGTGTCGTCAATTCATTATCAAATCGTGCAATCTAAATTGATAATTGTAGACGACGTGAAGACTCTCCAGATCCAATTTGAATCAAGTCATTTGCAGCTGTGAGCAGAACGCTATCAACGTTTGAAGCCGCTGTGCAGAAATCCGTCTGTGCTTTTTATCTTTCGTTTTAGGCACATTCAAGCCTATTGTGACTATAACAAGTGGTATCAGAGCCCTTGGAGCAGTTTCGACAATGTCTGGACCTGAGGAAAGGGGTGGCAGAGGTGCTGGTGGCAGTGGAGAAGCTCAAGCTCAAGGCCAACCCCGTGATTCAGCCATGGCGCCCATGCAACCAAGTCTTGGCCCACCTAGGGATGAGCCTAGGGTGTTTGGGCTTGACAAGTTCAACGGTGACAACTTTGCTGAATGGTCCTTCAAGATGGAGAACATCTTTGACCACTATGACCTGCTGGAGGTGATGGAAGGAACGGAGAAGCGCCCCGAGAACGACCCGGAGAAGAGCCCGTGGGTGCGGAAGAGCGCACAAGGCTATCTCTTACTTGGGCAAGCGTTGGGGAGCAGTCAGATCCGTCACATCAAGCCATTCCAGTGTGAACCAGAGAAAGGACCAAAGGCATGGGCTGCTCTCAAGGGTGTACATGCTCCTGCAACAGCGGCGGTAGCGGTGGTGTTGGAACGGCAAATGGCGGCACTACGAATTGAAGAAGACGAAGCGGTTGAAGAAGGGGTGCAGAAATTCTTCGACTTGTTGACGCGGCTTGAGGGAGCTGATTTGAACTACAGTGAGCTCCAAAAGAAGACCAAGTTGCTGGCCTTACTCCCAGAGTCATGGTCCTCGCTCATCATCAACCTTAATCGCGACTTGCCCCGCCTCTCGCTTGAAGACGTGAAGCGAGCTATCCTTCAAGAGGATTTCCGCCGCCGTGAGTTGGCGAGTGCGGATGGCGCTGGGGCAGCGAGCATCGGCCGTGGATATGGTCGAGGAAGAGGCAGAGGACGAGGGGGAGGAAGGTTTGGTGGCAGCAACTTCGGCGGAGGCCGCAGGAGTGGCGGTTACGGCAGCGACGACAAGAGCTACGGACGCGGTCGCGGCCGATTCGACGGCGAGTGTCACTATTGCCACAAGAGCGGACACATGTGGCGCGACTGCTACAAACTCCCTGATGGTTGGGCCCCTGCTCAAGGCCAAGAGGGTAGAGGAGCAGGAGGAGGGAGAGGACGAGGCCGTAGAGGCCGTGGCGGTCGCGGTGGCGGAGCTGCAAACATGAAGAGCGGAGACAACGACAAGGACCCGAGCGACGATCGATACCCGGGTCTATTCTACTTCGTGTCGACGCAAGTACCGGCTGGTCCAGAGAAGGATGAAGGCTTTGAGGAGCCAGCAGCTGTGGGGAAGGTGACCCTACACCCCCTGGACTATTGGGTGATTGATAGTGGCGCTACCTATAGCATGACACCTCGCCCGGACTTGCTCACCGAACTCGAGCCGTCACCGGTGAAGCATGTCACATCGGCTTTGGGGCAGCGAGCAGAGGTGAAAGGCATGGGCAAGGCCATGTTCAAGGGTGCTGATGGGAAGATGGTGGGCCTCAAGAACGTGCTTTGGGTGCCCAGCCTTGCTGCAAACCTGATTTCCGTGCGGCGGTTGGCAAAGGCCGGCATGGACACGAACTCGAAGGGAGCCAAGACCTACACCGCAAGGCTTGGCGATCGAATTCTTTGGGACCTTCATGAGGACAGGGATGTCTACAACGAGATGTGGCAGATCCCAGTGGTCCCTATGCCTAAGGAGAGGCAAGTGGCAGCAAGCATCAGCACCAAGGATGGAGCGGTCGGTAGCGACGATGGCGCGAACGGTCGCGCTAAGGAGAATGAGCTCAAGAAGAGCAAACCTGGAGGGACCAGCAAGTTCAGTGAACCTAAGGAGAGTGGTGCAGCAACCAAGGAGCAGCAAAAGGGTG